ATGGTATTTGTCCTGTCCCCCCGCCCCGAACCGAACCGATTACCTGTTAAAAAATGGATAATTGGGTTTTCCATTATTCTCTCTATTATAATTTGTCTAGCCCAAAATTTATGGCACATTATCGATCCATTAAGTAACATAACCCAATCACTAATTACCTACTAAATACTAACCCTACCAGAAAGAAAATTCGAATAAAATTCAACAAGACATTAGCCGACAGCCATCTTCACTTGAGTCTCTGCAGCGCGTCCCCAAAATTTTTCTTCTTCACACCGTATTCTTTCTTACTCACCATCGACATCCCCAAATAGGAGGGTATTTTTCTTCCTCTTCTCGTTTGCTAATTGCTATTGTTGTAATCTATATCCATTTTCATTTTTGTTGAGTTTGAGTATTTGATGAGATGTGATTTTTTTCTTCTCCACATAAAAGATAAATTTAATGAACTTAATCAGCCTAGAGATATTAAGTTTTATTGCTGGAGGAACTCAATGATATGCACTTTGAGTTTGAGAATAATCAATGAAAATGTAAGGAGATGAGAAAATTATTAAGCTGTTGAATTCACCCAGCACCAAATTGCTGGAAAAATATCCGGAGGTTTTGCAGAGAATTTTTAGAATTGTTGAATTTAAACAAAAATATGGGAATTCTGCTTAAATGTCATTAGTGGATATCACTTAGAGAGGAACAAGTAATACAAGATTTTTGAGTGCCAAAATTCTTTTTCAGTTAAATGTACTTCATGAACAGTCTTCTGTTTCGCGCGGGTGGTTGCTAACAATTAAAAAGGGATCAGATGATTGTGTAAGGAACAAACCTCTTGAGACAAAATCCTAAAAAGGGGTGTTTTATTGGCGATGACATTACAATTGGAACTTAAACAGAATGCCTCCAAGGGGTGCAAGCACACGAGTACTGAAATAAATGTTTAAGTTTAAACTAAGAAATTGAAATTTCATATTCTCTATTTGAGAGTATTTGATTCGGGATCCTTTGCTCCATGTCTTTTCTTCCTTTTATATTCCCTTGATGATCTCTTCGTGATCAACCATTTAGAAACTATTTAATTGCTTTATAACTACCCACTTTCTTCATGGTGGCCAACTTATCGTGGAACTGCCGTCTCTAACTGCTACCACTACTCTTTGTCGTTTAACCGTCTTCAACTGGAACTGATAAGATTACTTAATAACTGTTTCGATAACTGCACTTTTGGATAACCATAACATCTTATGTTTGCTAAGATTCTGGGCGATTCGAAAGTTTGGGCGAGAACAGGATCATAACCCTGGGCGACTGTAAGGCACTTCATTCGCTCAGATCTTGGGCGTCTTGCAAGTTTGGACGATGGTGTTACCGCATTCGTGGGCTTCCACTGCATTCATTAATAACCCTATTTGGGCCTTTATCCTGAATTGCCCGGT